AAAGGTGTAAGGGAAGGTATTTACTGCTCACAGTCATGCTGCCATGGCACACCTACAAACCAGAAAGTTAAGTCAGAAGGAAAATTCTGGCCTTCAAAAAAAACCAGCTTGGCAGAATTTTCAAGTAAAACATGTTTTTGTGAATGTTTAGTAATGATATGTAAATAAAATTTGAAGCTGCTCTCCCACACCCCCCAAAAGTACAGTCAACCAGCTACAGAATGAGTTAATTATTTTATAGTATCTTGCCCTGCTATTGTGATGGTCAAGATACAAGTTGTCAAGGGAAAGATTATCAGGCCAGAAGACTAAATTGCTGCTTTTTTATGTCTTTTTGCAGCAATTAAATAGTTGCTGCATTAAAATCAACAACACAGAACGTTTTAAAATGCTTTCTAAAACGTGAGCAGAAGACCACAAAATCATACAAAGCAGAAGCTATATTGTACAACTTGGAAACCTGATCTGGTAAATAAATCGAGCTCTTAAACAAACAAAACCCACAAATTGCACAAAAACTCACCAAATAGTGTATAATCAACATCTAGCACCAGCAGCTTTTTCCCTTCTCTAGGAGGATTCAGAATTTCCACTTTGTATTCTTTAACTCTACGGGAAATTTTTAGTAGATTTTCTTCCCTGATGTAACAGTGCAAAAAGTTACAGTTAATTAAAATGCATACTCTACAGTCAATAATAAACTGTTTTAATAGCTTGAACTCCTAACCTATTTTCTACTTCCACAACTTCCTCTTCAATATCAAAGTCATTGACCACATCATCATTATCTGGAGGTGGCCCAAGGACATCTTCCTAGAGGAATAAAAATAATAAAAGATAACGAGGATCAGAGAGGGAAAATAACAATGGCTATCAAGTTTATGTTACTGCATATTACAGGGCAGGAATACTATTTAACCAAAATTGTTTCACTTTACTAGTGGAAAGAATTACTGAAGTATACTGATGATTGTTCACATTTAAAAAGTCAGTGAGTATCACTGTAATAGGTTTGTACTTCAAGTGCAGAACACCACAGGAGTTCTATCAGTACATTATGCAGCAAAGTTTACATTAAAAAATGCCTACAGAAATCTATTGTACTATCATTTTATAAATGATGACTGGAATATTCAAAATTTAAAATCACAATTAGGAGACAAAGCATTTTTTCCTGTTCAAGCTAATAAACAAGCAAATTATTTACCAAACTCTCTTCACGAGTGCCCATCATCATTATCTTAGTATTTGGTTTCAACTTGAGGGCTCCAAGCTTAACATCATCATCTGCAGGTTTGCCTGTAATGCAGATTATTTTTTTTTAATTGGGGTAGAGATTTTAGGAAAATGTCAATGCATTCCATACTTAATTGAAATAAGCTCCCTGTAAAATACCAGCTATGCCAAGCTGTGTTATCATAATCTTCCATATACAATGCCCTGGTTTTGGCTGGGATTGAGTTAAATTTTCTTCTTGGTAGCTGGTGCAGTGCTGTCTTGGGTTTAGTATGAGAATAATGTTGGTGGCACACCAATGGTTTAGTTGGTGCCAAGCAGTGCTTACTCTAATCAAGGACTTTTCAGTTTCCTGTGCTCTGGCAGTGAGCAGGTGCACAGGGAGCTGGGGGAACTGGGCAAAGGGATATTCCACACCACAGAACCTCATGCCCAGTGTATAAACAGGGGGGGATTGGCTGGGAGACACCGACTGCTGCTCAGAGACTGGATGGGCATCACTGAGTGGGTTGTGAGCAACTGCACTGTGTCACTGGTTTCTCTTGGGTTTTGTGTCTCTTTCTTCTCTTTTCATTACTATTATTATATTTAGTATTATATCATATTTTATTAACTTTCAGTCACTGAACTCTTCTTATTCTACCCACGAGGTTTACTTTTTACTCCCCAATTCTCCTCCCCACCAGAACAGGGCAGTGTCAACTACTAAGAAACAACCAAGCAGATGTATTAATAATTAACAATATCCAGTGATGTATAAAGTGTCTCTATTCGTGTTCATCCTGGAACTACAACTGGCAGGTGGATGCCCTGTTAATGCACACATCCTGCCTAGGATTAGGGGATGTTTGTCCTTAACCACCTCAGGCACATCCCCCACAAACAGTAAATAAGGACAGTTACCCTTCATTTTAAGCCCAAGAAGTTTTTGACGCTCTGGTAACACTCCAGTAAGACCTTTCAGAGACTGTTTCAGGTCCAACACTGTGTCTTCTTCTGACAGCGAGGTTATCGTGTACTCCTGTCCACCCCATTTTATTATGAGAGAGAGAGACATCCTTGAAGCATATGTTCAGTATTACAGCCTGAAAAATCTGCTGCAGGAGGGAAACACAAAGATCATGTAAGGAAGAAAGAGGAGAACTACTCTTTTCAGAAGACAAACCACAACATCTACTTAAAACATTCTTGGTTCTTTATTATATTGGACATCAAAGAGCTGCTTGTTTCCCCTGAGCAGATGATAAATCTGTTGAGAAAGTGCTGAAACAAAGGGAGAAAGAACAGTGTTAAAACTGGGGCTCTGAGTTCCTCTTTGATGTTTTTAGCAATGTCACATTCACATCTGCTGTGTGTTCTGTGCAGGTACAGCCTGTGCATTGCACACTCAAGCAGAGCACTGCAGCACCACAAAAGCCATTGCAAAGCTCAGAAACGTCCTCTGCAACACTTATGCAACCAAACCAGCCATGGGTGCCTTTACAGATGTAATAACAGAACAACAAATATGAAATCCCCAACATACATAAGCCCATAAAAATAGTTCAAAGCCCATAGTCCATTTTTGGCACTGGATTTCTCTAATCCCTTCCACTGTGCAATACCTGCAGTAATGCACACCCCAGGTCACATCTCACTGTAGCAATATCAAAGCAGGAATTTGAAAACAAAGCCAAAACACACACCCACACAACACAATTACACCAGAAGAACTGTACTTTCATTGCAGTGCTGACAAAATAACCATAATTATACTATCTTTAATTTACACAGCATCATTTATACAAATTGTATTTAACAGTTTAATCCTACATTAAACACAGCAGAAAAAACAAGATTTTTAGCTTAACACGAAAGGAAGAACATGTTTTTTCTCTATTAGGGCTTAGAAACAGAATCAAGGATATAGAAAGGTATGAAAAGGCTGCTAGAGACAGTCAGGAGATGCAGAGAAGGCCTCTGCATCATTGATGGTGAATTGTCCTCAAATGACTGATATTCAAAGAGCAGATCTGTGAAAAATCTAGGGTTATCAAACTTCAAGAAATGCAGGTCTGGCAATTCAAAAAAGTCACAGAAGCCAAAACTCTGATCCTTCTTCCTCTCTGGATTTGTATTCTCAGAGGTTACCCACACTCAGAAAAAATTCTTTTACACAGTAAAGGCTATGGGGAACAAAACTGTAATTTCTCAGGCATAGCCACCAAGCTCAGAGCAGACGAGAATTAGTCCAAGTACAACCTCCTTGCTAAGGACACTACAAGCCTCACCTCCAAACTATTGCCCCTAAGAGCCCTGAAAACAAATTGAAGAGGAAAACTTGTATCATTTGGAAATGAATTAATTTTTTTCCCCAATATTGTAAAATCAGGCTGGGACCTGGTATGACATGATGAAAAAGACTCATGCAAAAATGTCTCAGAAGCACTAAGAAATTCTACTGAGGCTAAGGCTGCATGGTGTAGAGGACTTTTGATACACAGTGTCATTATCATAAATGATTCCTGTCCATAATCCTTATACTAAGTCAGAAAGAAGAGTTCATTGTCTGTTTCCTTACCTGTACCATACACCTCAAATCATTCTGCAATGATATGCACAGGACAAGAACTCTAAGCAAACTTCTGCAGTCTCTGTCCAGTGCTAAATTGAAAAGATCATCCCTCCAAAGCTGAGCACTTGGCCAACCCTCAATCCTTACACATCTATAGCTCTGTCACGATAAATGCTATTGGAAACAAGACACTTTTATTCCCTGCCAAAACACTCAGGTTCGAATCAAGCAAAATGGGAAAATGGTTTGGGAGCAGAAAAAAACAGAGGGATTTCCAAAGGTTCTACCATCGGGGTTGGGTGCCGTGTAGAACTGAAGCTAGCACAGCTTCCTTTGGTTAACTTCACCTTCAAGGCCTCTACAAGACCCTTGGGCCACTGGGACCCGGTGGGTTGGAAGGCCACGGGTCAGAGGAAACATTCAGGTTCTGTTGTTAAAGCCCTGCACCGCTTTCCTTGGGCGATCAGCACCACAAACACAACCCGCCTGAAACACGCCAAGTGCCCGCTGAGCGCACGGGGCCGCGCTTTCCCCAGCACCGTAACACGTGTGGGACGGGCTCTGGGGCCGGCAGCTGCTCGGTGTCAGCGGGGCTCTCCTCCCCCGCCGAGGCTGCCCCGGCAGCGGCGCGGCCCGACCGGGAGCGCCCGCTCGGTGCTGNAGGGATGCTGCGGGTCATGCCCCGGCCGGAGAATGGGAACTCCGCGGGGCTGCTCACGGCGGGGTCACGCAGCAAACCGGGAGGGAACGCCGCGGCACCGCGGAGCCCTCGCCCCCTCAGCGCCGGCCTGAGGCCGAGCTGCGCCGGGGCCCCGGGGAGGCCGGAGAGGCGACTTGCACGGGCAGCTGCTGCCATGAGCGTGTCTTTTGCACTGACTGCTGTGAAAGGAGGTTGTTCTGTGCACAGGGACCCCGCCTGCAGAGCTGCCTCCAGTTCTGGGGTCCGGGCACAGAGAGGACGTGGAGCTGCTGGAGCGAGTGCAGGAGAGGCACCAGGGTGATGCGAGGGATGGAGCAGCTCTGCTGGGAGGAAAGGCTCGGGGAATTGGGATTGTTCAGTCTGGAGAAGGGAAGGTTTCAGGGCCACCTAGTTACAGCCTTCCAGTACCTTAAGGGAGATGACAAGAAAGATGAAGAGAGACTCTTTACGGGGGCCTGGAGTGACAGGACAAGGGATTGGTTTCAAACTGAAAGAGAGGGGGTTTAGATTGGATATTAGGAAGAAATTCTTTTCTGTTAGGGTGGTGAGACCCTGGAGCAGGTTTTCCAGAGGAGCTGTCTATCCCATCCTTGAAAGTGTCCAGGGCCAGGTTGGATGGAGCTTTGAGCAACGTCCTGGGGAAAGTGTCTTCCCACATCTAGGGGTTTGGAAAGAAATGACTTTTAAGGTCCCTTCCAACCCAAACCATTCTGTGATTCTATGACTTAAAACTCTATTTGCTCCTAAAGCTGACTCTTTTCAGACACATTGCTGTGTCTTGATATTTGAGTATTGTTTGGATTCTTGGGAACTGCCTTCAGCTGCAGGGGTTCTGTGCTTAGGCAACAGATGTAGAAGGGGAAAATAGACTTTGCCACAAAATGACCTTTTTCACTCAGTGGTTTGCAGAAATAGTTTAAAGGGAAGAACATTATTCTGTGGTAAAGTGTGGTTTCTTATGTGAAATCACGTGGAGGTGACAGAGACTGGTTCCACTTGGTGTCAGTAGAGGTGGAGTTAAATTTGAGGAAGGAAGTGAAGGTTTCAGTCCTCCATTACCTTACATCTTGGAGTGTTGAGAGGTGAGATAATTCTTCCCTGTTTAATTTGGTAATAAGTAGGGAAGGGAGCAAAAGAGCAGAGGTAACAACTATGCACTGAGTAGAAGTTTCTTCAGAGTGGCTGCTGGAACCTGCAAGAGCCATTCCTGCTGTAAGGGAATCTCAGTGGAGAGGGGCAGTATGAGCAAAAACTGTAGAAGCCTGATCTCTTTCCTCAGAGGATATTAATTTAATGTATTTCCAGCCTGGATATGTGCTTTCAGTTTGTTCTACATTCAAGTTTAAGTGTAAAAACACCACTTTGGTTTCTAGGAAGAGTGGTACAAATGGAAGACCATTGCAAAACTGTTCTTGTCAAGTATAGTTTCTGACTGCACCTAAATCCACATAAAACCAGTCACTCTGCTTGTATCCCAGTCACCAAGGGTTTGCTTTTTGCTTGAATGACACACAGTTGTCCTCTGCACAGAGGCAGCATGTTACAATAGTGCTGGAAAGCTTCCAAAGCTGCAACTGATAATTAAAGTCACACCCTGTCATGAAAATATGCACCCTCCAGACCTGCTTAAAATTCAGGCTACAAAAATGACATCCAGTGTGACCACCTCTGTATTTGCCATTTTGTTAAAAATATTTGTTGTTCTTTTCTGGTTGGCCTTTAGGAAGCTCTCTTGAAAAGGAGGCAGTAGGGTTTTGGGTTTGGTTTTGTTTTCTGTTTGAGGAGTGGTATGAAAAAGAATAAGAATGCATATTTAATTTCTGGTCTGATGCTGGTGTTTTGGTATCCTCAAAAGATGCTCTGATCCTGACAAGATTCATGTGGTGCAGATAAATACATCATTTTATTTAGCTGTGAAACACATGGTGGTGCTCAATCCTAATGCTACTAAATGCAAAGTGGCAAAGTAATTTGACTAGCATCATATAATTACAATTCCAAGTCCAAACAGCACAATCTTTATACTGAGGAAAGTGTTCCATGGTGGGACTCTCTGGGTTTGCACTGTGGTAAATTAGCAGGACAAGGAGGAAGGAAAAGCAGTGGGAAAATTTGAAAGCAAATGCACGTTCCCTTTCACCTTGATGTGCACTGCTGCATCCTGGGATGCTCCAGGGTGAAATAAAAGAAGTGGCTGCATGTCAAATTGATGCCTGCTGGCTCCCTTCCCGTGCCTCATGTTCACATCACGCATTTCTGATCCTTTTGTGCAATATGCTCCTGTGCATAAGTACTGAAGCCCAGGAGCTCATCTCCTAAATTGCTGTTCATGCTGTATATAAGAGCAAAATTCCCACTAGCAGCTCTAGTGAGATGCTGGGTAAGAGTCCTTTGAAATCATCGTTTAAAGCTGGAAACTGGGAACCTCAAAAGGTTGCTTTGAGAATTAAGAGAGATTAGATCACATCTCTGTGACAGAAGGAGTTGGAAAGCAAATGGTGATGATATTGCAGGGCTGAGAGGTGCTAAATATTTGTTTATTCAGTGACTTTAATGGAGGAGAGTCAGTGCAGATGTTAATGTGCTGCAGACTATGAAAGGGCCAACAGCACAGATTTCAAGATCTTAAACATTTTGATTGTTTTGGGTTTTTTTGTTGATGTTGTTTTTTTTTCAGAAAACTCACTTGAATATGCACCAGCCTTTCTACCCCACTTCTAATCTGAGCCCATGTTTGGAAAAAATCTAGAGCAGAGCCCATATTCTCCACTAAGAATAGAATAATTCTTAAAATACATTTTGGTACCAGTTTATTTTACTCTGTTTTATGCTTTTAGCTTTCCCGTAATGCCTCTTTTTATGATTTCCTATGATACTTCATTGCTTTTTCCCAGTTCCCTTTCTCTGGTTTATAATTTGTCCTAAGCAGGTGGTAAAGGCAGTGATGTTTGAGAATGTCAAGCTCTGTGAATCCGATACCATCCAAGTGTTCGCAGCCCTCCTGCCCCGCTCATCACCAGTGACTGCAGCAGAGCAGCCAGCGGGGTGTGCTGGCCACTGCCATCCCTGTGCCCCAGAAATGCAGCATTTGAGTGCTCCCTGTGATTCTGAGTCACCGTGACTCCGGGCACATCTCCGAGCACCGCATTCCCAGAGTTCAGTAATGCTTCAGGAGCTGCCAGCTCAGTTGGAGACTCGGAAATGTCTCCAGTTTGAAGTGAAGCACATTTTCAGGTTATCACTAATGCAGTCTCTGTCTCAGCTGCTTTATCAGGAAAGGGGGAGTTTGAATATTATTTGTGTACTTTCCTTACAGGAGTTTTTTCAGGATTATTTAGTGAATGTTGGCACTGTGAGATGCTTTAAATACCAGAGGCTTGTTCCCATGTACCATATGATTTTCCACCTCCTGAATGCAACTGTTATTCTTCTGCCACTATTCAGCCCAATGATTTTTATTTTATTTACTTCGATTCTTTGTATTCTAGATGATGCCCCACTGGCAAGGGATCTTGGGAAAGAACTGTGATGCTTTTGTTCACTGAACAAAACCTGATTCATCCCTTTCCTTACATCACCACACAGCTCTCCAGCTTCCCAACACAGAGATTGCTCTGGCTTTCCTTTAGGTACGTTGAAAGTCACAGCAACTGTTGATGTGTTTGGAGTCAGCACTGTCTAGTGTTATGAGAGGGGTAAAGATACATGTAATCAAAGGAGAGATTTAATTATCAGTGATACTGCAGGAATGGTTTCCTGAAAAGGGTGAAAACAAATTGGAAATTGAGAAACCAGCTGAATTCTAGAAAGAGCTCTGAAAAAAAGCAAGAATAAGAGGAAAAATTAGGAGATGATGAGAAGCTAAGTGATGGCAAGAAATTTAGGAAATAGGGTCACAGATAGTGAAAAACAGGAATTTTTGAGATGGGGTTACAGAACTAGAGTTGTTACATCAGAGAGAGATTCACGGACCGTTGCTATTGCCCACTAATGCTCCCAGTTTCTGTTTCTGGGTTTCTATAGGAATTAAAGTTTATTTGTTCCTTTTTTAGGGAATGGAATAAAATTGCAAGAAGGGAACACAAAAGTGTTGGGAGCTGGCTGCCACCAGTATTATACGTGAGGTACCAAATTAGGTTTCACAGGCAATCTTAATTTTTGCCTCAGTTAACTTTTTGTCCAGTAGCCTACCCATTAAGACATTCCTTTACTTTTGCATATGTATGTATGAATATTTTTTGAAACAATGGTTTATAAAAAGCTTCAAATAAAACTGCCCATGTTATTGTCCACCTTATGCATGCAGTGTCCTTCCACGTCAGCATATTTTGCTGCTCTTTGAGAATTCGTATGAGGGATTTTCTTTGTAAGCAGTTTGGGGTTGCTGGCATGTGTCCATCTGCATGGACAAATCAAGCTTCCACATTATCTGAACTCTGAGAAAGTCCTTTCAAAGTTTTAATGAGATGTCACCATAGCGGTGCCCTTCAGTCCTCAGTTGCTGGTCACTGAAATTCTGGAATCCAAAAGCCTTTGTTGATAATGAGAGATGAATAATCATTGAGTTCAGAATTCTCAGCCACCCAGTGTCAGATGCAGGAGAGGCTTTCAAAATTCTGGAGAAATGAAGCAGAAAGTTGAAGTGCTTTTAGAAAGCCATGCCTGACAAGACAGCAGTAATGCCTCATACCTGATCTGCTCATTAGAAAACCTTTCCTTTTGTGAAGTAACACGTTTTCAGAATTAAATGCTGAGAGAGGATAGAATTAAATAAATGTGGGGTTCGGTTCCTATTGTTTGCTTGCAAACTAAAGCAAGAACTTTACAATACTTTCATGATATAATTACTTCTAAAATAATAATAGATACTTCCACTCCAACTCCTGTAAATACCTGTTGCTCTCCACAGCTGTGAATATATATTTGTCTTTCTCTGCTGCTTGCTGTCTTTTCTCCCAAGCAGCACTGCAGAGAGGTAGGACTTAGAGATCACCCCAACCTCAGTCAGCACTGAACCAAGCCTACAGAGAACAGACAAGAAGTGACTCATGATTTTTTTTTCCATGTATGGCATGAGTAGTCAAGCAGCCCCTAGAAATGGAACTGAAATTCTTATACCTTATATGACAGCTGGTTTATATTCCCTGTGATAAGAAGTGGGGTAGTGGTGAGGAACAGGACACAGTTGTGAGTGGGCTGAGCCAGAAGAATGGGGTGGCTGGAGGCTGGTGAAGCTGTTTTCTCATGTTTTCTGCAATAATCCAGGCTTTGGAGCAGGGTTTATCCCAGGTACAAGAAAAGGATTAGGTGATAGTGGCATGCTTAATACAGGGATACATAAAACAAGAGCTGCAAACACTTGTGATGCAGGGAGCTGTTAAGTGACAAAGGAGGAAAGTTAACTGTGCAGAAAGGTGAACCTACTAAGCCTGACCAGAGCATGGAGTACTTATGAGTAATAATCACATGTGGGTATCCTTTGTTTGGCTGGGTCTGGCAGGTTTGTTATTTCTCAGTCAAATGTAGGAACCCTTGCATAAATTGATAGATTTAAAGTAAACATTTTTCAGCACAAAGCCTGCTGCTTTTATTTAAATTGTATTAAAATCTGAGGCTTGTAAAAAAAATGGTGCTGATCTGTTCCATGGTACCTGCAAAGGTTTGTGAGACTCCTGTCAGTTGTGCCATTTGATCTCCTGCATGCTGGAATGTCTGGAGCTGAGAAGATTGGCCTGGTGTGAACACCAAATGCACCATCTGAGGATGGACATGTTCAAACTACCCTTTTCTCCTGGTGTTTTGAAATCCTTCAGGTACTCAGACAAAGTAATTTTGCAAAGCACAATGCGGACAGACACCCAAACTCCTTATTTTAACATCTCTGCTTCACAGAGTTAAAGACACTGTTTTGAGGCATTGTTAATAGCTACGTCTGTGAGCTCCACTGCTCATTAGAGATGGAAGGAAAAAAGCAATTATTAAGTTGGCCAGCCCAGCCCTTGTGAACTACAGGATTTTCCAGTTCAATGTATTCCCTCATTCCTCACCGCAGCGAAGTTTTTTTCATGTTCCAGACAATGTGGCTTTGTATTTTTTTTTAAATACTAAGGTAAAAACCATTACTCCCTTTGTGTCATAATTTTTTCCATAGCACTGAAGAACGTGTTCTAGGGCTTGGCCGTGGCAACCTTGACAGGATGGGTAAATATTGGTGAGACTTTCCATGCAAGGTCTGTGAGCTGCAGAGGATGAAACGATACTGTGCTGGGCTGTGCTGTGAGGGAGCAGCCCCTGGGTCAGGTCTCCAGCTGAAAAATGACAGTGCAATAATACAGAAAATCCCGTGCTTTTCTGATTGAACTCACAACGAAGGTGACTGGAGGCTCTGCAGCCCAACACTGGAAACAGAATCAGCCTTAGTATGTGAAAGTAATTCAGCACTTTGTGTTCCACAAGGCTAGTAAGGAGTATTAGTAAAATAGCAGGGTTGCCTTTTAAACATCTGCTCAGACACTACCTCGAATTTTGCTGACCGACTTTTCTGAGTCATCTTCCAGACTCTCAGCTGCCCTGGCGAGTCCGCACGTCCCGAGAGGACCCAAGCCCAAACCTCTGCGCTCCCATTGGAATTTTAAACCACAACCTCTGCCTTTTCAAGCGTGAAAAGGGTGTCGGCGTTATGGACAGAACTCGTTCCCGGCGGGGAGCGCTCTGCAGCCCAAATCCCAGCTCTTTCCACCCAAAACGCGGCTCCGCTCCCTCCGCCCCCGGCCCGAACCTGCCCGGAGGATGGGGGG